GCCTATGAGATATCTACTTATTTACCATTTCCTTATGAATTTGTTAGAACTCTTGATAAATTTCAATTTCTAATCATTTGTTGTCAGTATGGATGGTAAATGCAAGTTCTTCTAAGTAAACTATTTATTTATTTGAGAAGCATCTACTCATAGGGATTGAGAGTACAGATGCTGGAGCTAGTCTGGTCAGGTTCAAATGCTGATTTACAATTCTTTGAATTAAAAGAGGGCTTCAAAAATTTTTGGAAAATGAAATTAAGATAAAGATTGAAGATAGAAGCATTTCTCAACAAAACCTATCAACTTCAAGACACTTTTGTAAGCAGTGGCACCAGCCATTTCGTCTATCCCTGAGGAACTGAGGGTTCTGAATTTGACCATGTCATTGTAGGCTTTTTTGGTATTATCAACTAATAAAAAATGGGTACCGTTTAAAGATTTTTTTAGATTATGAAATAAAAAGAAGTCAGAAAGAGTCAAATCAAGGCTGTTAGGTGGATGCCTAATGATGTTCCCTTAAAACTGATGTAAAATTGCTCTTGTTTGATTCCAAGAATGAGCAGGAGCACAGTCATGATAGAGAAGGTCTCTCTGACGAAGCATCCCCAGGATTTTTTGGCTAAAACTTTGGCTAATTTTCTCAAAACACTCACATGATGAGCAGATGTTATCATCCTTTGGCCCTCCAGAAAGTCTACAACAAAATGCTTTGGCATCCCAAAAAACTGTTGGCATGACATTTTACTTTGACAAGTTCTGCTTTTGCTTTGACTGGACCATCTCTATCTCTTGGTAGCCGTTGTTATGATTATGCTTTGACTTCAGAATAGTATTAATAATGTTTTAGCTCCTGTTCCAGTTCCTCAAGGAAATGATTCAGACTCTTGTTCCCACTTGGGGTGTGTGTGTATGAAATTTCCATTAAAAGTTTGCTTTTGTCTGCAGCTGCTTTGTGTGCAGTTGTGTTGATACCTATCCAGCAGAAAGTTTGTTTAATTTTTCAGTTACAATTGCATAAGCCAAACCCAATAAGATATGTACTATCTTAGTTATTGTTTGTACTGCTCATTTTTGGTCTTCTTCAATAAGAGCACAAACATTATTACTTTGCATTGCATGCCTCATCTTCAACATCATCTCATTTCTTCTTGAAACAACTTACTCATTTCTAAACTGATGATTTCTTTGGAGCATTGTTCCCTTGACCTTTTAACTAAGCATCAATGATTTTACCATTTTTCTGTGTAGACTTCAATATACATTTTGTTTGTTCGTGTTTCAATTTTAGCAGAATTCCTGTTGCTCTGAAAGAGGATCTTTCAAACTGATATTTTAATTCTTCTTAGTGCCTCAAAGTAAATCCTGTTCAGACATGTATAACAAGTTAGCATGAGTTTATCTTGACTCAGAAAACAATTTGAAATCCTTGCATAGTTTTTTCTTACTTTGCATTTTGAACATTTGAAGACCCCCTTATATTCTCTTCTTGTCTCTCCTGACAATGGACTTTAAAGCCTTTTTTTAAAACTTTTATTTAATGAATATAAATTTCCAAAGTACAGAATATGGATTACAATGGCTTCCCCCCATAACGTCCCTCCCACCCGCAACCCTCCCCTTTCCTACTCCCTCTCCCCTTCCATTCACATCAAGATTCATTTTAGTTTCTCTTTATATACAGAAGATCAGTTTAGCATACATTAAGTAAAGATTTCAACAGTTTGCTCCCACACAGAAACATAAAGTGATAAATACTGTTTGAGTACTAGTTATAGCATTAAATCACAATGTACAGCACACTAAGGACAGAGATCCTACATGAGGAGTAAGTGCACAGTGACTCCTGTTGTTGACTTTACCAATTGACACTCTTGTTTATGGCCTCAGTAATCACCCTAGGCTCTTGTCATGAGCTGCCAAGGCTATGGAAGCCCCCTGAGTTCACCGACTCTGATCATATTTAGACAAGGCCATGGTCAAAGTGGAAGTTCTCTCCTCCCTTCAGAGAAAGGTACCTCCTTCTTTGATGACCCGTTCTTTCCACTGGGATCTCACTCGCGGAGATCTTTCATTTAGGGTTTTATTTTTCCAGAGTGTCTTGGCTTTCCATGCCTGAAATACTCTCATGGGCTTTTCAGCGGGATCTGCATGCCTTAAGGGCTGATTCTGAGGCCAGAGTGCTGTTTAGGACATCTGCCATTCTATGGGTCTGCTGTGTATCTCAGTTCCCATGTTGGATCGTTCTCTCCCTTTTTTATTCTATCAGCAATTATTTGCAGACACTAATCTTGTTTATGTGATCCCTTTGGTTCTTAGTCCTATCATTATGATCAATTGTGAACAGAAATTGATCACTGGGACTAGTGAGATGGCATTGGTACATGCCACCTTGATGGGATTGACTTGGAATCCCCTGGTATGTTTCTAACTCTACCGTTTGAGGTAAGTCAGCTTGAGCATGTCCCGAATTGCACATCTCTTCCCTCTCTTATTCCCACTCTTACATTTTACAGTGATCACTTTTCAGTTAAGTTTCAGCACTTAAGAAGAATTGTGTATTGATTACAGTATTCAACCAAAAGTATTAAGTAGAACAAACAAAAAAAAATACTAAGAGGGATAACATATCAAGTTGCTCATCAACAGTCAGGGTGAGGGCTGATCAAGTCACCGTTTCTCATAGTGTTCATTTCACTTTAACAGGTTTCCTTTTTGGTGCTTAGTTAGTTGTCACCTATCAAAGAGAATAACTGATATTTGTCCCTTTGGGATTGGCTTATTTCACTCAGCATAATGTTTTCCAAATTCCTAACAGGGATCACTTTTCAGTTAAAATTTAAACACCTAAGAATAATTGTGTGTTAATTACAGAGTTCAACCAATGGTACTAGAACAAAAAAAAATACTAAAATGGATAAAGTATTACATTGTACATCAACCGTCAGGACAAAGGCTGATCAAGTCACTGTTTCTCATAGTGTCCATTTCATTTCAACAAGTTTCCCCTTTGGTGCTCAGTTAGTTGTCGCCGATCAGGGAGAACATATGATATTTGTCCCTTTGGGACTGGCTTAATTCACTCAGCATGATGTTTTCCAAATTCCTCCATCTTGTTGCAAATGACTGGGTTTCGTTGTTTTTGACTGCTGTATAGTATTCTATAGAGTACATGTCCCATAATTTCTTAATCCAGTCTACTGTTGATGGGCATTTGGGTTGGTTCCAGGTCTTAGCTATTGTGAATTGAGCTGCAATAAACATTAAGGTGCAGACAGCTTGTTTGTTTGCCAATTTAATTTCCTTTGGGTAAATTCCAAGTAGTGGGATGGCTGGGTTGAATGGTAGGGTTATATTCAGGATTCTGAGGAATCTCCAGACTGACTTCCATAGTGGCTTAACCAGTTTGCATTCCCACCAACAGTGGGTTAGTGTCCTTTTTCCCCACATCCTCTCCAGCATCTGTTGTTGGTAGATTTCTGAATGTGAGCCATTCTAACTGGGGTGAGGTGAAACCTCATTGTGGTTTTGATTTGCATTTCCCTGATTGCTAGTGATCGTGAACATTTTTTCATGTGCCTGTTGGCCATTTGGATTTCCTCTTTTGAAAAATATCTATTGAGGTCCTTGGCCCATCTCTTAAGTGGGTTGTTGGTTTTGTTTTTGTGGAGTTTCTTGATTTCTTTGTAGATTCTGGTTATCAACCCTTTATCAGTTGCATAGTTTGCAAATATATTTTCCCATTCTGTCTGTTGTCTCTTCACTTTCCTGACTGTTTCTTTTGCAGTACAGAAACTTCTCAATTTGATACAATCCCAAATGTTAATTTTGGCTTTGACTGCCTGTGCTTCTGGGGTGTTTAAGAAAGAGTTATCAGGCCCTGTATTCTCAGAGGTGCCACATATGAAGTAGAGCCTCCATCACATCTTTGAGGCCCAGGCAGAGGGAGCCTCCATTTCTTGTCCTTCCCCTAGAACTTAGCTCTTTATCAGCGGGTAGCTCTGCACCACATGAGACCTGCTGATGTCCTACGTACGTGTTCTGCACCTGTGAGGGTAGTGCTACAATGGAAGCTGCGTGTAGGGAAACTCTGTGTTGCTGGCTATACTGTTCTGGAGTGAAATCTCCACCTCACTGAGCTGTGTATTTATGTAATTTTCACCATTCTCCAGTTTCCTTGGGGAGCACGTCTGCAGAGCTCCTCGTGCCATTGTGCTCGACTTAGAACTCCAAACATCTGGGTTTCTTGTTTTGTGTTATTCTTAATGGAGCAGGCATTTGTTTCCCTTCATCTGTCCTAGGTTCCCTCTCTTTCCTGCTGATCCTTGATAATTTTCAAGAAAGGACACAGTAGTTCCTATGGGTTTATTTTTGTTTTCCAGGTAGGTGTCTCTGGAGTGAAATTTTTGACTGAAAAATTTTCTGGTGGACTTTTTATCTCCTATGATAGAATAAGGACTTCAGGCCGGCGCCGCGGCTCACTAGGCTAATCCTCCACCTTGCGGCGCCAGCACACCGGGTTCTAGTCCCGGTCAGGGCGCCGGATTCTGTCTGGTTGCCCATCTTCCAGGCCAATTCTCTGCTGTGGCCAGGGAGGGCAGTGGAGATGGCCCAAGTACTTGGGCCCTGCACCCCATGGGAGACCAGGAGAAGCACCTGGCGCCTGCCATCGGATCAGTGTGGTGCGCCGGCTGCAGCGCACCAGCCGCGGCAGCCACTGGAGGGTGAACCAACGGCAAAAGGAAGACCTTTCTCTCTCTGTCTCTCTCTCTCTCACACTGTCCACTGTCCAAAAAAAAAAAAAAAGAATAAGGACTTCATTCTAAGGATTAATTTAATATTTAATAATCAAAAAAGGTATGTTGTTTTAATTTTCCCTTTTTAGCAAGGTTGTAGAAATTTTCTCTAAGATCCTTTAGAGTTCTTATATCCCATTATTTAGTGAAGTCACCACAATTCTGTTCCAAGATTGTAAGTGAGTCCTCGATGTTTTCTCTTGTCAGGACTTGTCTGACACGTAACACAGCTGGGAGAGACTCCCCTCAGGAACCTGTGGCTCGCTCTGACACACTTCATCACTTGTAATACCTTTCTGTTTAATTGTTGTCCTGTGCCTAATTGTGCTCATTTTATGTCATTAATCTCATAGAATTTTAGTATGTGCTATTAAACCTAGTTAAAATGTGTTAATCATAGATTCCAGGTGAATCATGTATAGTCAAGGCCTGGAAGTATCTGGGAACATGGATTACTTGCTACTAACGTTTCTTCTTTAATGAAAATGCATGAGAATAAGGACAGTAAGGGACCATGGTCAGTTTAGATTCTGAAAAAGTGGCCTGAGTAACACATTAGAAGACTTACTATCAGAGTACTGACGATTATTTTATTTTATTATAGCAAAGCATAAAAAAGAAGATAAAAATATCCTTAACTGTTCTAAGTAACTTCAGTATAACAAAATATGGAGAATGTCTATAATGACAAAAATATTAGAACAGTTGGTGTGTATTTTTGAAAGTATTTATTATATAATTGCAGTCCTCACAGTCATGGCTGTGGAAAGGAAGAATGGGGGAAGGGATGTGAGATCTGCTGAGAAAACGAACTTTTTTTTCAAAGAAATTGGCTTCTGATTTGACATTTATGTTTTTAGGTCTGGGAAGATTTAGGACTTGAGAATGGAAAATTGACTTTTATACGTATATCCTTTCAATGCTGTTGTTTTTAGAATAGTTTCTCTGCTACAATATATGAGTCTGCCATGACTTTTATGAGAAAAGATAGGTCATGCTCTCCTTTGATAGACATGTGATATAAACATCAAGGTTAAAGAACTGTACACATGACCTTTGAAAAGAAAGCATTTCTGGTTCTGTCTTGACAACACCATCACTACAGTCATTCTTGCAGCTCCACCTGAATATAACATCTATAAAATTAACCATTTCTCAAGAGTAAGAGTTTAGATGAGTGTCCTTCAGTAGAAGAAAACCCACTACGTGAAAATTAAAATAAAAGCAATAAATTAATGCAGCAAAAACTCATCATATATGGGGGCCAGAACCTTCAATTATGTCAAACATCGGGTGACATTGTGGAGTGGAGAGTCCCAGGCAAGAGCCAAATACACCTTGTATTGATTGAATCTTGGTGCCATCTGGTGGCACTATTCTGCTTTGGCTTAAACATAATGAGAATCTTATATCTAGTTGAAAAACAAAAACATTTAATTGTGTTAATAATCCTGAGGAGTTGGAGCTTCCATGACTTTTTTTTTTAAGAACTGATGAAGAGAAATGTTGTGCTTTTAATTCTGGCTTCCTGCTCACTAAGCCTTTTCTCAGCCTAGCATCCAAAGTCAGGTGAGATCCCTCCTGAGTCATGGCAACTCCCATCTTACTCTTGCTTCTGGATGCTTTTCAGCCCAGGGAACTTATTCATGTACATGTCAATCGTACAATTCAAATTTTAAAAAGCAAAGACCATGTTCCAAGTATTTTGTCCTGGTTTCAGATCATGTTGACTAATTTTGAGTTCAACAAATATGGTCAGCATATCCATTATTCCTCTCTGCTACATATAAATGCAACAGAATGTTGGGTGTATTCCAACTCCTTTTTAGTTAACTTTATAGATAGTTCCCACCTGTATTTTTTTTACCTAATCAGATTCATAGAACCATGTTAGTTCACATCTTTTTCTGGTTGTCTCTATGTAAAGAACTTGTTGTTTTCTGCACTGTGGGGTAATGTTATAAATGACATCTTTATATTACTGCATGACCAGTCATATGATGGTTGCCTAAAAATAATGAAGCAACACTCCTCTCAAACTTCTAGATTTGTTCAATGTGACTGTTGGAGACTACTAGAGCCTGGAAGGACTTGGAGCTTACCTTCCACCTCCCATTTGGGGAGATGATGAAAGAGAAGAAAGGTTATCTGTGCCCCAGGAAGTCCTACCTTCAAGAAGCTGACAGACTCTAATGATTGTAACAGAGACAGTCTTATTTTGAATACACAGCACAAAGATTGTTCATTCAGGACTTCATTTTGAAGCAGTTGTCGTGCATGTTCCCTGAGTGTGGAGGTGATTTGAGAACAGACAAAGCAGGGTCTAGGGATTTGCAAATCATAAAACATCAGTATAACAACATAGGAGCACTGGCCAGATGCTGGGGAGATATGTTCTTTATTCACTCAACAAATATTGAGAAACTAGGAGGGGAATTAAACAAGTTTGTACACAAAATCTTTAAAGATTTATTTATTTGTGTGGGGAGCAACCCAGACTGGACTGAGTTACTGGAATTAAGACTTATTCTATGCATCTGCTCTCCCACAATATGGCGCTGGGAGAGGAGAAAACAGCTTCTACGCAGCTGCCTCTTGCCAACTTGAGTGATGACCTCCAGGAGCTGATCCTGCTCCTGATTGGAGGAGAGCAGCGTACTCGGCGTGTGGGCAGCCGAGTTAGGATTGGCGGAGGAGGACTATAAAGGAGGAGAGAGACGGCATGCACCAGGAACATCTGAGGGGAACATCTACCTGAAGGAACACCTGTGCAGCCCCCGAGAGAGCCGGCCGGCGGTGTGCCGCTCCCCCGCGGAAGTGGGGAAAGTGGCCAGGGGGAACCGCCCTTCCACGGAGGTGGAAGGGACAGCAGCCAACCCGGGAAGAACCAGCAGCAAACCCGGGGAGGGCCGAGCAGACGAAAGAACAACACAGGGTCCTGTGTTGCTCCTCCGCGAAGAGGGGGAGCGACAATTTGAAAGGCAGATCAATAGATATGAGGAAGAGAGAGAGAGAGGGAGAGGGTATAGGGGAGAGAGAAAGAAAGAAAGAGAATCTTCCATCCACTAGATCACTCCACATTATATATATAATGTATATGTATGTATATATATAATCTATAATCCATATATATAATCTATGTATATATAATCTATAATATTATATATAATATGTATATATGTATATATAATCTTCAGAGCCAATAACAAGAGATCCCTCAGATGTGTAAAAGCCAACATAGAAACACAAGAAATATGAACAAAGAAAGCAATATAACACCCCAAAAGTAACACAATAATGCATTAATATTGGACTATGAAGAAATAGAAATTGACTAAATGCCTGAAAAGAGATTTGAAAGAATGACAGATTACTCAACAAGACAGAAAAATATTTACATGAAATAAGTAAGTCTGTACATGACATTAAAGAAGAATTCTTCAGAGAGATGGATATATTGAAGAAAGATCAAACAGAAATATTAGAAATGAAGTATTCGATAACAAAAAACACAGGGCTTAGCACTGTGGCAGAGTGGATAAAGCCACTGCCTACAGTGCTGGCATCCTGTATGGGCACTGGTTTGAGTCCTGGCTGTTCCACTTCCAATCCAGCTCTCTGCTATGGCCTGGGAAAGCAGTGGAAAATGGCCCAGGTCCTTGGGCCTTCGCACCCAGGTGGGAGACCTGAAAGAAGCTCCTGGCTCCTGGTTTGGATCGGCATAGCTCTGGCCATTTCAGCCCATTGGGGAGTGAACCAGCAGGTGGAAGACCTCTCTCTGCCTCTCCTCTCTGTGTAACACTGACTTTCAAATAAATAAATCTTAAAAAAAAATGAAATAAAAAAATAGTGGAAAGCCTTAACAACTAAGTTGATGAGGCAGAAGAAAGAACATTTGGCCTAGAAATGGGTTTGTTCAAATATCTCAGTCAGACAAGAAAAAAAAAAGGAATTAGAAAGAGCAAAAACAGTGTTTGGTATCTGTGGGATACCATCAAACAGCTAAATATACGAGTCTTAGGGGTATAGAAAGTATAGAAAAAAAGAAAGACTTAGAAAACTTATTCAGTGAAGAAATATAAAAATTCTACAATTTGGACATCCAAATACCCTAAATTTGCATGGTCAGAAAAAGATCATAACCATGAGAGATTGATTATAAGTTTGATTATAATTTTTCAAAAATAAAACATAAAGAGAATATCCTAAAATATGCAAGAGAGGAATGCCATTATCATATTTAAAGGGTTTTCCATTACATTAAAAGCAGATTTCTCTTGTTTATGGAGTCAGTAATCACCCTAGGCTCTGTTAAGTCAACGACAGGAGTCACTATGCACTTACTCCTCATGTAGGATCTCTGTCCTAAATGTGCTGTACATTGTGATTTAATGCTATAACTAGTACTCAAACAGTATTTTACACTTTGTGTTTCTGCGTGGGTGCAAACTATTGAAATCTTTACTTAATATATGCTAAATTGATTCTGTATATAATGATAATTGAAAATGAATCTTGATGTGAATAGAAGGGGAGAGGGAGCGGGAGAGGGGAGGGTTGCGGGTGGGAGGGACGTTATGGGGGGAAGCCATTGTAATCCATAAGCTGTACTTTGGAAATTTATATTCATTAAATAAAAGTTTAAAAAAAAGGCAGATTTCTCAACAGAAACCCTACAGACTAGGAGAGAATGGAGAGACATTGTTCACACCCTAAAAGAAAAAAACTGCCAACCCAGAATACTTTACCTAATGAAGCTCTAATTCATAAATGAAGGTGAAATAAAGACCTTCCAAGACAAACAAAAGTTGAGAGAATTTGTTACCACCTGATAATTAAGTGTATATTACAGATGATAATTAAGGATATAATACACATAGAAACAAAGAAAGCCAATTAGCAGCATGAAAGAAAGTAAAGGAAGAAAACCTCCTAGTAAAAGTACAAAGGAAACCAAAACAAGCAATAGGAATATTAAGGGGGCAATGGCAGGACCAAGTTGTTACTGATCAATAATAATATTAAATGTAAATGAACTAGTTTTCCAATTAAAAGATTGGCTAAATGGATTAAAAAACAAGATACATCTCTACATGATGCCTACAAGAAGCATACTTCATTAGTAAAAGTACACACAGACTGAAAGTGAGAAGATAGAAAAAGATATACTATGCATATGGAAATAAAAAATGAGGCAGGAGTAACTATTCTCTTATCAGATAAAATAAACTTTCAGACAAAACTGTGAAAATAGACAAAGAAGGTTCTTATGTAATGATTAAGGAATTAATTTGATGTGACTATAGTAACGCTTATGCTTCCAATGCCAGAGAACCTGGTTTTATAAAACAAATGTTAATGGCTGGCGCCACGGTTTACTAGGCTAATCCTCTGCCTGCAGTGCCGGCACTCCAGGTTCCAGTCCCAGTTGGGGTGCCAGTTCTGTCCCGGTTGCTCCTCTTCCAGTCCAGCTCTCTGCTGTGGCCTGGGAAGGTAGTGGAGGATGGCCCAAGTGCTTGGGCCCTGCACCCACATGGGAGACCAGGAAGAAGTACCTGGCTCCCGGCTTTGGATCGGTGCAGCGCGCTGGCTGCAGTGGCCATTTGAGGGGTGAACCAATGGAAAAGGAAGACCTTTCTTTTTCTCTCTCTCTCTTTCTCTCTCTCTCACTGTCTAGCTTTGCCTGTCAAAAAAAATAAAATAAAATAAAACAAATGTTAATGAATCTCAAGGGAGACATTAGCTCTAGTATAATAATAATTGGGGGCTTTAGCTCCCCACTTTTACCAATGGACAGATCAACACGACAAAAAATCCAATTAAGAAACAACAGAACTGATCTACACTATGGACCAAATGGACCTAACAGGTACCTACAGAATATCTCATTCCACAGTTGCAGAATACACATTCTGTGCAGCAGTGCATGGAACATTCTGTAGGTTAGACTACCTGCTATGCCATAAAACAAATCTCAACAAATTAAAAAAAGGTGAAAATTGTATCATGTGTCTTTTCTGATCACATGGAGCGAAGCTGGAAATTAGCAACAAACCAAACTCTGGAAAATATACAAAGATGCAGTCGGCGCCGTGGTTCACTTGGTTAATCCTCCACCTGTGGCGCCAGCATTCCATATGGACGCCAGGTTCTAGTCCCGGTGGCTCCTCTTCCAGTCCAGCTGTCTGCTGTGGCCCTGGAGTGCAGTGGAGGATGGCCCAAGTGCTTGGGCCCTGCCCCCTCATGGGAGACCAGGAGGAGGCACCTGGCTCCTGGCTTCAAATCGGTGTAGCACTGGCCGTGGCTGCCATTTGGTAGGTGAAACAATGGAAGGAAGACCTTTCTCTCTGTCTCTCTGTCTCTCTGTCTCTCTGTCTCTCTCTCTCTCTCTGAATAACTCTGTCAAATAAATTAAAAAAAATTTTATACAAAGACATAGAGACTGAATGACATGCTGCTGAATGAAGAGTGTGCCATAGAGGAAATCAAAAGGAAAATCAAACCATTCCTTGAAATTAATGAAAATACAAACACAACATTTTAAAACGTATGGGATATAGAAAAAGTAGTATTAAGAAGAACGTTTATAGCAATAACAGCCTATATATATATATATTATATATATATAAAACGGTATCAAATAAACAATCAAACAATGCACCTCAAAGACCTAGGAAAATAAGAACAAACCAAACCCAAATTTAGTCGGAGGAAAGGAATAATGATAATAATAAAAACTACCAAAGACCAGTGAAATGAAGAGCCGTGTTTTTGAAAACCTAAATAAAATTGAAAAACTGTTGGCCCAACTAACCAAAAAGTGGTGGGGGAAAGAAACTCAAATTAACAATCTTGGTGTTGAAACTGGAAATGTTACACCTGATACCACAGAAATATGAAGAATAATTACCAGTTATTCCAAATAGCTATCTGGCAACAAATTGGGAAATCTAGAAGAAATGGAAAGGTTTCTGGACATATATAATTTGCCAAAATTGAGGCAAGAAGATTTAGAAAATCAGAATAGATCAATAACCAAGACTGGGATTGAATAGTAAAGAGCCTCTTAACAAAGAAAAGCGCAGGACCAGGTGGTTTCCCTGCTGAATTCTACCAAACTTTTAAAGAAGTAATCACTATTAGATCATTCAAAAAAATTGAAAGGGAAGGAACTCTTCCAAAGTCATTCCATGCGGCTTTAGCTCCCCACTTTTACCAATGGACAGATCAACACGACAAAAAATCAAAAAAAATATGGCTACCATTACCATAATTCCAAAACCAGAGAAAGATACATCAACAAAAAAGACAACTATATACCAATAGCCTTGATAATTGCAGATGCAAAAATCCTCACCAAAATGCTAGCAAATCTAATCCAACAACACATCAAAAAGATCATTCACCCGGATCAAGTGGGATTTATCCCTGATATGCAGGGATGATTCAATACTCAAATCAATAAGTGTGATATGTCTCATCAACAAAATAAAAGATAAAAACTGTATGAATATCTCAATAGATGAAGAGAAAGCCGTTGATAAAATACAACATCCTTTCATGATAACAAGAACCTTTTAAAAATTGAGTGTAGAAGGAACATACATCAACACAATCAAGGCAATATATGACAAGCCCACTGCTAGCATCATATTGAATGGGGAAAAGCTAGAAGCATTTCCACTAAGATCTTTGTATCTTCAACAAATGGTATGGGGGACATTGGATTTCCACATGCAGAAGCTTGAAACAAGACACATACCTTGCACCCTATATAAAAATCAGCTTACAATGCTAAAGGAATGTAAACCTAAGACTTAGAACCCTCAAATTACTAGAGAAAAACCTAGGGGAAATGCTGTAGGACATTGTCCTAGGTAAAGATTTCTTGAATAAGACCCCAGAATCACAGGCAATAAAAGCAAAAATAGACAAATAGGATTATATCAAATTAAGAAACTTCTTCACAGCAAAAGAAACAATCAACAAAGTGAAGGGGCAAAAATAGAATGGGAGAAAATATTTGCAAACTATGAATCTGATAAAGGATAATATGCAGAATATGTAAGGAGTTAAAGAAACTCAACAACAACAAAACAAGTAATCCAGTTAAGAAGTGGGCAAAGGGAGGCCGACACTGTGGCACAACAGTTCAAGCCACTGCCTGTAACACCAAGCATCCCATATGAACACCAGTTCAAGTCTCAGCTGTTCCACTTCTGATCCAGCTCCCTGCTTATGCACCTAGGAAAGCAGTGGAAGATGATCCAAGTAGTTGGGTCCCTGAACCCACATGGGAGATCCTGAAGAAGTTCCTGGCTCCTGGCTTTGGCCTGCCCTCCCCCGCCCTTGCCTTTTAAATAATAATGTTTTAATGGGCAAAGGATATAAACAGGCATTTTTTGAAGGATGAAGGACAAATGGCTAACAGACACATGAAAAAATAATCAGGGGCATGAGCCATCAGGGCAATACAAATTAAAACCACAATGAGGTATCACTTCACCCCAGTTAGAATGCCTATCATCCACAAAATAACAAATTCTGGTAAGGATATAGAGAAAAGGGAACCATAATATACTCTTGGTAGGAATGTAAACTGGTTCAACCATTATGGAAGACAGTGTGGAGACTCCTCAGAAAACAAAACCTAGATCTACCATATAACCCAACTATCCCACTCCTGGGAATATATTCAAGTGAAATTAAATCAGCATATGAAATCGCGACCTGTACTCCCATGTTTATAGGAGCTCATTTCACAATAGCTGGGAAATGGAATCAACCTACATGCCCATCAACCAAGGACTGGATAAAGAAAATGTGGTGTGTGTGTGTGTATATATATATATATATATATATACATATTATAAAATGGAATACTACTCAATCATAAAAAAATGAAATCCTGACATTTAAAACAAAATTGATATAACTGGAGATCTTTATGCTAAGTGAAAAAAACCACATTATTATAGATAAAAATTGTGTGGATGTCAGATCATTTGCTTTGTGATAAATATTGAGCCACTGAATCATACTATGTAAATGACAATATACACTTGTTTCACATGTTTTGAAAAAAAAGAAATGGAGAGGGGAGGAATGGTAAGGACTCTTAGGATCCTAGTAATGCTTTGTTCTTAATTTGGATGTTGGTTATGAGTGTATTCAGATGACAAAACAAATCATTTGGGGCCGGTGCTGTGGTGCAGTGGGTTAACACCCTGGCCTGAAGCACCGGCATCCCCTATGGGCACCAGTTCTGGTCTCTGCTGCTCCTCTTCTGATCCAGCTCTCTGCTGTGGCCTGGGAAAGCAGTGGAAGATGGCCCAAGTCCTTGGGCACCTGCACCCATGTGGGAGACCTGGAAGAGGCTCTTGGCTTCTGGCTTCGGATCTGCATAGCTCCGGCCGTTGCAGCCAACTGGGGAGTGAACCATGGAATGGAAGACCTCTCTCTCTCTCTCTCTCTCTCTCTCTCTGCCTCTTCTCTCTCTGTGTAACTCTGACTTTCAAATAAATAAATCTTTCAAAAAATCACTTATCCATACACTTAATCTTAAAAAATGTCTTTTTTAAAATAACATCTTCCTTCAAACTCTGTATAACCTACTGGTATTCCTTATTAGGTTAGAAATAATGGCCTTGAACCACCCTTTCTACTCTCCAAATTATTGGGTAGTTATCTAAGCTATGGGAATCAGAAGACTTTACTGGGGTGGGTGTTTGGTGTGGTGTTTAAAAGTCACAGCTTGAGACACCTGTGTCCCACATCAGAGTGCCTGGGTTTGAATCTCAGCTTTGCTTCAACTCAAGCTACCTGCTAATGCACATCCTAGGAGGCAGTCGGTGACAGTCCAAGTGCTCAGGTCCCTGCCACCCTGTGGGAGGCCCAGATTAGATCAGGGTTCCCAGCTTTGGCCTCACCAACCTCTGGCTGTGGTGGGTATTTACAGACTGAACCAGTGAATGGGAGATACCTTTCTTGGCCTCTCATTCTATCTTTGTCTCTCTTTCACTGTTTTCTCTGCCTTTCAAATAAAATGAAAATAACTTTAAAGACTTTACTATCTCTGGTCAATAAAATTTTATTGTATTCCACAAGGCACGATTCATGGACCTAAGCAAAAAAAGGAATCAGGAAGCAAATTAGAATGTAGTTACTTAAAATGTGAATGAGAGAATTTATGACAAAGTGTTTGATTATAAATCATTCTTTTTAGGGTGATGTTTTAGCAACTACAGGCATTAATTCAACAACAGTGAATCTACTAAGCAGCTTGACTATTTTATGTGCTGTTGCCACCTTCAAGGATTTCCAGATTAACAAGACTATTTTTTTTAAGATTTATTTGTTTATTTCAAAGGCAGAGTTACCAAGAGGCAGAGGCAGAGGCGGGGGGGGGGGGGGACGGGGAGAGAGAGAGGTCTTCCATCTGCTGGTTCACTCCCCAAATGGCTACTCCAAAGCCAGGAGCCTGGAGCTTCTTCTGGGTCTCCCTTGTTGGTGCATGGTCCCAAGAACTTGAGCCAAATTCGTCTGCTTTCCCAGGCTATAGCTGAGAGCTGGATCAGAAGTGGAGCAGCCAGGACTCAAACCAGCACCCATATGGGATGCTGGTACTGCAGGCTTTACCACTATGCCACAGCATTGGCCCCAGGACTATCTTAATAGTGATAGTCTATTTTGTGTTTTTCTGCTACATCTAAATAGCTGTGCTCCAAGTTTGCATGTATTTATTTCCAGAGAAGTCAGACTTAATAAGAGGAGCTTGCTGTGGCCATATGGTTCCTTCTGCCTTTGTTCAGATGCAAACGTAGAATTTATGTTCTTGACAACTGCCTGTGCTGGTCATTTGTTTCCTTAATTCATTCAACACATGCTTCCTGAGCACCTCTCAGACACTGAATGGAGTAAACAAAGAAGGTCCCTGCCCTTGTTTTTGGAGAGAGGGGTGGGCACCAAACAAATAAGCAACTAACTATGTAACATGTAAGGTAACGTTTGATACCATGGAGAAACATGAAGCCAGGCTAAGTGGTATCTTTGTTTTGGACTGCTATAGCAAGAAACCACAGATGGGATACTGTATAAAGAACAGAAATTTATTTGACTGACACTTCTGGAATCAGAAATCAAAGATCAACAGCCAGTATTTGGTGAGAACATACTTGTGGTGTAGGTACATGGCAAAAGGTAGGAGGCAAAAGAAGGAGACAGAGGTCCAAACTCGGTCTTTTTTAATGAACACACTCCTGTAATAACAAACTAACTCCCATGGTAATGGCTTTCATTCATTAATGAGGTTGGAAACCTTTATAGCCTAATCACTTCACCAAAGGTCCCATTGCCCAGTACTGTTGCATTGAGGACTAAGTCTCCAACACATGAACTTTGGAGGATACATTCAAACCATACCAAGTGGGAAACGCAGGACATGGGATGCAGAGGGGGGATTTACCAATTTCTATATGATAATCAGAGACGTATCCCTGATACAATAGTAACTTAGCAGAGAACTGAAGAACGGGCCAATGGGAAGGGCTGTGGGTATTGGGAAGAACAGGGTTGCAGGCAGATGAGAAAGCTAATACTATCCCCTGAGATGAGGCTGTGCTTGAGGTATTTGAGGAACCAGGGGAAGCCAGGGGCACCAAGGCTGAAGAGTGAGGTTTTATAAGGACTTTGGCTCAGTGGGAAGAGATGAGAAGATCCTGGAAAGCTTTGGTTAGAGGAGTAACATGAACTAACCAGTTTTTTTTTTTTAATCATTTTGTTTTGTGGAAAAATAAATGTTTAGAGTATAAGGTGGATACTGGGACACCTAGTGGGTTTTGTAACAATCCAGCAAAGAGAGGATGGTGACAGCAGTGGGGTAGATGGAAGCGATTCCATTGACCTAGCTAGTTCATGTGCATCTGTTTGTACTTTTCTCATTAGAATGAAAACTCCAGATAGGCAGGTGCGTTGTCTTCTATTTCTTGAATCCTTCCATAAGCACCTGGCATAAACAAATAATCAAAACCAAACACAGAAACCACAATGGGAAAATGCAGATTGCAGCTGCTGGAGCCTGTGAACAAACCTTGTAGCCCATGAATCATAATGTCCATCCCCTAACTCCTGGGTCCTTTAAAACTATTGGAAAATTAATATGAAGTTTTCTGAATCAGTTCAGTTTAAATCACTTCAGGAGTGGTTCTTTGTCATAGCAGTTAAGGCTGCTTAGGATGTCTACCTCTCATGTCAGAGTCCCAGGATCGAGTCCCTGTTCCTGTGATTCCATAGTCCTGCTAATGCATACCCTGGGAGGTAGCAGGTGGTGATTCAAATGATTAGGTCCCTGCCACTCACATGAGGGATATGGGGAGTTTCCAGCTCCCAGCTTCAGCCTGGCTCAGCCCCAGCTGTTGCAGGTATTTGGAGAATAAGACAATGGTTGAGATTCTCTCTCCCTCCCAACCTCCCTGTCTCTCCCTCTGTCCCTCTCTCTCCCTCTCCCTCCCTCCCTCCCTCTCTCTCTTCTCTCTTCCTCTCTCTCCCTCTCTCCCTCTCTCTCCTTCCCTCTCTCCCTCTTTCTCTCCCTCCCTCTCTCTTCCTCTCTCTCCCTCTCTCTCTGCATGTGTGTGTATTTGTGTCTGTTTATCTATCTGTCTTTCTATCTCTCTGATTTCAAGATAGAATAAACGAAATCATTTTGATCTGATAAATACATGACACACACCACTAATTTAAGATAAGGGTATATACAAGAAAATTCCAATAAATAGTGAAAAATTACTGGATTTATAGGATGTCCTTCCCTTCATTTTTATCTTTATGGGGCATGCCTCAGAAAAATCCCACTGATTCTATACTTTCTTTATTTTCTTTATTATTAATAATTGTGGCAAAGTGTACCTAACATAAAATTTACCATATCAACCATTTTTGGTGTGCATTTAGTAGTGTTAGCTATATTCACATTGTTGCAAGTTTTAGTTTATTCATTTCTCATTATCTCTGCTGGGCCTTGAAGCCATTTTGAGTTCTTGATTAGCAGAAGTTTCTATTTAACCTTCTGCTGTCCTCTTATTAACATCCTTGATGCTATATTTTAAGAAACTTCCTTCTTGTCTTTTAATCTGAAAATCACCCTCCATCTATGGTCTTTTCACCAATCCTTATAATCTCTTCTAGACCTACCTCTTTGCACATGGCAAATATGTCCATTCATTTTCTGTTACTATAACAAAATGCATGAGACTGGGTTAAATATAAGAAAAGGTTTTTTCAACTCAAGTCCTAGAGGTCTAAGAGCTTGATACTGGCATCTTCTCACTCTGGCGGGGTTTCATGGTGGAATCAAGTCTGGAAGGGCTCTCATGGCAAGAGAGAAAACCAGAGACAGATTCAGGGGTCAGGCTTGTCCATGCAAATTCACTCTCATGGGAAATAAGTGAATTCCAACAAAACTACATGAATCCCTTCTAAGGGCAGTGTCCTCAGTACCCTAATTATCTCCCCTAGATTCCCCCTCTTAGAGGTTCCATCTCCCCTAAACAATATCACCACCATCCTGGAGAAAAGCTTCCAATACATGAACCTTTTGAGCATTCTCTCAAATCATATCCAAAACATTGCAGCAGTGGTTTGACATCTTTTGATGTCAGCATCAGTTAGCTCAGGGCTCTTTCAGTAGCCACCATCAAGGAATTTGTCATGTCAGAGAGAGAGCATACACATTTGAAACATAAATGATAGAATCTGTAACCATAGCCATGAAAGCCCAACCTGTGCCAAGAGATACATGTAAGTTCTGAGTAGCCAGCCTTACAGGAAGATAAAGGGTTGTGGTGGTGGAATGATTTATAAAGACACTGGAGCCCAGTCGGACTAGTCAGAGAAGGCAGCTTAGGGAGAGATATAGCTCAAACAGAATTTAGAGACTCATGATTTCTCAAATAGAAGAGATGATCCTTTTGGAGACTGTTCAGAAATTGCGTAGAAATTAATGTAGGAAGTTGGGTCACCATGCTCATTTATTTAATCAAAGTTAAGCATAGAGCAGAAGCCTTGGGAACAGGGGAGATGAGGGCATAAACATTTCACATGTTAGGAAAAGCAATTACCAGCTGCCAGAGGCATCTAGGAGAGAAATGCAGATGACACTGCTGAAAAGTGTCTCTCACCATATCTGAATCATTTAGGAAGGAGCTGATGCTGTGTAATGAGAAATCAAGTGGCCATGTTGCCCACAAGTCCAGGCTTGGGCTGTGGCATCTGAATTTTCTGGTTCTGGGACCAAAAGAAAATTGTAGTGATGAAGAAGATGGACATCAGGCAGAAAATCCATTTGGGGCATGAACTAGCAATGGAAAATCTCTCTCTCTCTCTCTCTCTCTCTCTCTCTCTCTCTCTCGTGTGTGTGTGTGTGTGTGTCTCCATCTGTCTCTGAAACTCTGCCTTTCCAATAAATAAAAAATAAAGGACCAAGCTGCCTAGGTTGTAGAGCAGCTAGGAACAGATGAGACAGGATTCAATGTATTCTTACATGGCATTGGGTGAAATATGGAAAATGTTGAAGGATTGGAAAGGTAATGATGGCAATAATTCACTTCTTGAATTTTTCCTTCATAAGTAATGTATCTGTGATGTATTGTCGGGTGGTGTTTATACATTTTAAATGTATTATGAACGTGGCAGCCTCATTAGTTCTGATGGGAAAGCTTGGAGCCCAAAGGGTGTCCCTTGGTGGGGGAAGGTAGTGTCCTTTCTGTTCTCTTCTGCTAACAAACTGCACCACCCAAGGGGAGAACACCTGGAGGGGCTGAGGCCCCAGGTGAAGCCTGGGTTAGCCAGGGATCTGTGGAGAGTTATACAGGCTGGGAGGTTTGGCTAGCCATGGATCAGGCACCCTCCAGAGTCCCCGTCTGCTTCGGCCAGAGGGTGGGTTTGCATGGCCCACACCCTAGTTGTGGAGCACTGCTCCAGAAAACCTCACAGCCCAGTGACAAAGGCCACTGCCAGTTTGTGGTCATGAGCCTTGCGTAGTGAGCACAGCTGCCCTTGTATTCAGCTAGGGGCCTGCTCTGCAGGGCCTCCTTGTCACAGCACTGACACCCCCTCTCCCAGCAGGTGACGCTGCTCATTTCTCCTCAGCTTCCACTGTCCACCCTGGGGTCTCCAAGCCTGCCTCCATCACCACCACCACTTCCTCCCCTCCCCGACTCCTGCTGCCCAGGAGTGTGTCATCCCTCTGAGGCCAATCTTGGGGTCTTCTGCACCCTCTCCCCACCCTGACTCGGTGCCCTTTTCCTTTTATTTGGCTCCTTCCCACTAGCATTCACAAACCTCAGTCTGTATCCTACTAAAAAACAAAACAACACGAAAACGTCTCT